CCTTCTATGTTCCTAGCTCTCAAACCCAAAGGAAAAGCCTCTCCTATCATTCCTCCTGACAGGGTTTCATGAGGTTGCGCAACTCCTCTGCAGGTTCAGTGACATCTCGGCACACGGCAGCGTCTGGCATTCCCTCAGAATGACGCAGGGCCCGCAGAGCAAGTCACTGTTTCCCCAACACCACTAACTATACTCACCCTCAGTCACCCATCTCTCATTTCGGTATCCTCAGGCGAGCACCCTACCCTGTCCCTCCGGTGATTCTTCAGATGGCGTCGAGGGCAGCAGTGACTGTAGGACTGGGCCACCATGCCCAGCCTGTCTTTGAGACAAAATCTAATAAAGTAGTGACTGCCTGAGTCTTACACCGTGATTTTCCTTTATCCACAGTAATGCCAGCTGCTTGGGAAGCAGATTCGGTGCAGCTGGCTTTCCACTGACACATTCTGAGTGGTTTATGGTATAGAAAACTTTATAAAGATTTACTGGCTCATCAAAAGAAGTCCTTGTCAGAATGAGAAGATGCAGGTGGTTCAGTCGAGATCTACGGATTATGCTTCAATGTCCACTTACTGGATGATTAGTAGAAATTTATGTTATGCATGCATTTTAGAAAGACTAACAGGTCTAAGCAAAAGTTATTAAGAGTGACCTGGAGTTAGATGAGAATTTGGTTTACTAAACATGAATAAATCAGGACTTCATGGTCAAAGTTGGGAAACACAGTACCAATAGTGGTACTCATGGTCAATTTCCAAAGACACCAACACTTCATTCCAGATAAATTAATCTCTTGGTTTGATTAAAAAGAGTCCAGAGAGAATAAGAATTGTGAAAATCTCATCTGAGCTCATATATGCATGGAATAGAAAAATAACTCTGGGGAAAAAGAGAAAGCCGCTGGAGTGCTAGATGCATGTAAGTGAGTCTCGGTGTCTGGGGCAGCTGAGTGGGTCACACGTTTAACTCCGGGCTCTGCAGTCCAGACGCAGGCATTCTATCAGGAGGGAGGGCATTTCCACCTTTCCTGAGCCAATAATCTGAAAAATCCCATGTGTCTACGAGTACAGCACTTCCATTTCCTGCTGAGCCCACGGAAGCCAAGCTATGGATCTGATTTCTCCCGCCAGGGCCACGACTCAAGTCGTCTTTACCTGTCAACAAGTTTTTGTGTTCTGCTCCTGCAAAATACACAGTCCCACAGCAGCCCAAGAGACACGCAGATCTGCACACACATGCAAAACCCCTCTGGAGGACGCAGCTCTGCCCACGTGTACACACACACACACACACACACACACACACACTCAGACCCCTCTGGATGATGCAGCTCTGTACCTGCATGCACACACACACACACACACACACACACACAGACCCCAGTGGAGGACGCAGCTCTGCACACACAAGCACATACACCCCACCGGAGGACGCAGTAATCACAGCACTTGTCACGCTCTGAAAGTGCAGCACAGGGATAAAGTCGCTGTCACGGATGAGGCTGGACCGCACTTAAATGGCCGGCCAGGTCTGCACACGCGAAGGCCTGACGCATTACCTGACTGAGTCAGCTCCACACCCGCCAAGGCCGAGACTCCTGCTGCCGGCTGAGGGCAGCGATCTGCCTGTGAGCGTCAGCGCAGAGGAGGGGGGGAGGATGAGGAGGGGGGGTTGGAAGAGGAGGAGGAGGGTCGGTGTGAGGAGGAGGGGGAGGGGAGGACGAGGAAGACGAGGAGGGGAGGGGGAGGGGCGTCGGAAGAGGAGGAAGGTATATGTGTGGAGGATGAGGGTCGGTGTGAGGAGGGGGAAGAGGGGAGGAGGAAGGGGAGGGTCAGTGTGGAGGAGGGTCAGTGAGGAGGAGGAGGAGGGTGAGGAGGAGGAGGGTGAGGGTCAGTGAGGAGGAGGAGGAGGGTGAGGAGGAGGAGGGTCAGTGAGGAGGAGGAGGAAGAGGTGAGGAGGAGGAGGGGGGTGAGGAGGAGGAGGAGGGTCAGTGAGGAGGAGGAAGGGGAGGGGGAGGAAGAAGGGGAAGGAGGGTGAGTAGGAGGGTCAGTGAGGAGGAGGAAGGGGAGGGGGAGGAAGAAAGGGAAGGTCAGTGAGGAGGAGGAGGGTCGGTGAGGAGGAGGAGGGTCAGTGAGGAGGAGGAGGGGGGTGAGGAGGAGGAGGAGGGGGGTGAGGAGGAGGAGGAGGGGGGTGAGGAGGAGGAGGGGGGTGAGGAGGAGGAGGAGGGGGGTGAGGAAGAGGAGGAGGGTTGGTGGGGTCACTGAGGAGTGGGCGTGACGGTGCTCCCGTGGGGCCTGTGGGGCCCCCTCCTCCGCCCCTCCTCCACAGCGTCTCCTGTCCTCCCCACCTGCCCAGCAGCTCTGCCCTGGGGCTCCTCCTCACCACTCCGCCCATGGGAGCACTGCTGGCCACTGTGCGGCCAGGCAGCAGGCTAGAGCACTGCGGTCAGCGCTGGGGAGCACTGCTGTCAGCTGGGGAGCACTGCTGTCAGCGCTGGGGAGCACTGCTGTCAGCTGGGGAGCACTGCTGTCAGCTGGGGAGCACTGCGGTTAGCGCTGGGGAGCACTGCGGTTAGCACTGGGGAGCACTGCTGTCAGCGCTGGGGAGCACTGCTGTCAGCTGGGGAGCACTACAGTGGGGTCTGGGGAGCACTGCTGTCAGCTGGGGAGCACTACTGTCAGCTGGGGAGCACTGCTGTCAGCTGGGGAGCACTGCTGTCAGCGCTGGGGAGCACTACAGTGGGGTCTGGGGAGCACTGCTGTCAGCGCTGGGTAGCACTGCTGTCAGTGCTGGGGAGCACTGCAGTTAGCGCTGGGGAGCACTGCTGTCAGCTGGGGAGCACTACAGTGGGGTCTGGGGAGCACTGCTGTCAGCTGGGGAGCACTACAGTGGGGTCTGGGAAGCACTGCTGTCAGCTGGGGAGCACTACAGTGGGGTCTGGGGAGCACTGCTGTCAGCTGGGGAGCACTGCTGTCAGCTGGGGAGCACTACAGTGGGGTCTGGGGAGCACTGCTGTCAGAGGTGTGTTCTGCTCTGTGTCCCTGGGGCCCGCTGGCCTTGTGACTGGACTGGACTCCTCCGTCCCTGACGCTTCTCCTTCGGAGCCCAGAGCAGATCAGCTACACTTCCTTGGATTTCTGAGCTCTGCTCTTCTTCTCTGTGTTGCAGACTCATATTTCTTGTCCTCATGAAGAGGGCATTCACAAGCACAGCACCTCCCCCTCCTCCCTTGCACAGCCAGACACACCTCCCGGAGAGGGCAGGGGAGATAGAGTGAGCTCTCTGCTGCCCTTCCCTAACCTATCTTGGGTCCCAAAGTCAGCCCAAGCCCACCAGTATTTGAAGCAAGCAGGGAAAGGGGAGGCCACTTTGGAGGTAGCGGGAGAGTCGGGTGTGCGCTTATTTCTGGACAGCATTTTACTGTGCGGAGAGTGGGCGCGCTGAGGTCGCCTGCTTCCTCAGGCAGCTTTGCCGGCGTGGCTGTGTGTGCTGAGCGGGCTCTGTGCCTGGGCAAGGCCCGGTCTGCACTGTCAAAGGTGAGAATCCAGCCAATGCCCACAGGGATGCAGCAGGTGTTTGTGAAAAAGATCAGAGACGCCTAAGAAATGGACGGCACTGAGAGGAATGTGTAAAAAGGCAAGAACAAAAGTTCTACAATCACCTTCATTCATTTTCCGGGTAGAATTGTGGAGAATGCTTATTTCTATGGCAGGTTTTAGTCATTTTAGAAATCCTTCATGCATCTAATCAGCCCAAATGGAAAAGACCGAGACAATCTATATTTGATGGTATTTCTGCACCACATCTTTCTACTTCATGATATTACAAAATCTCTAAAACAAAATGATCAAGTGAGGTCAATTAGAGAGAAAGAAAGCCACAGTCCAAATATTTTGCATATAATTTAGCCCAGACCATTGGGGTGTATTTAATGAGGTGAGTAACGCAGTGGATAATTGTTTCTTCCTGAGTCTCTCTTGCTCATTACAAGGTAAACTAAGATGAAAAGGTTTAATTTTGGTTGCACTGGCAAACGAGCAGCGAGAGCTCCTCTCCACTCCTTCACTGTGAGACTGCTGGGGTGTACGGCAGAAGGGGCTCAGCGAGGCGGGGGCAGGTTACCCCGTACCTCACTGTGGGGTGAATTCGTGCCTGGGCGTGGGGTCACGCAGCTGACAGGCTCCGACCGGATTCAGCTGGAAGTCCTCTCGGCCCAGGGCTTTTTTGCTGTTTCAAAGAATCTTACATTCTAATCCCAAATGAGTTTAGTTTGGGCTCGTGAGACCTATGGACTTCCAGTGCTTCCCAAGGTGTTGAGGAAGAAGCCTGACATTATTAATAAGTGACACCATTTTCAAATGGATTTTTGGCTCTCACTCTCCGAGCATCATGGAAAGATTCCAGACGCCCTCCCCCCCCTTCCCTTGCCTCTCTGTCTCGCTGGCTCTGCTGCGCGCTTACATTGCCAGCTAGTCACGGGGAGGGGCTCTTGTGTCTCTGTGGAACCAGGGCAGGCACTGTGGCAGGGGAATGGGTTGGGTCGTCTTTTGCTGGCTGCCATGTAGACACACGAGTAAAATGGTACAAGAAACGTGCGTGTCCATGGCTGTCTGAGGGCCTGTGGCGCTGAGGCCGGGCTGCAGGCTTGGCTGGTGGCTGTGGGAAGCGAACGGTCCTCTCTCAGTTACTGCTCCTTAGAAGGACGGGATGCTAGCTACTCTAACAGTTCTTTAAAGGACACAGAGGCCACCTCAGAGAACTGCGGAGAAGAATAGCAAAATGGCAGAGCACAGACTCATGATGGATTCCCAAATTCTTTGGGGGGGACGGTTCAAATCACTATTTTCAGTTTGACATGACACAGTAGGAAGACAGTAATTGTTTAATCGCATTGACTTTTCCCTGTATTTTCCTTAGCTTTTCATGGACAAAACGTTCTTATGGGAGTCAACATTTCTAAAATCATTATGCAACAAGTAATAAGTAGTGTGCAAACTTACAGCCCTGATGCTTTCAAAATGCCCGCCGTCCTTCTCGAAGTCAATGGGCTGCCCCCGGAGCGTCCAGTGGAAGGTCACCTCCAGGCTGGCGTCGTGGATCGCTTTGCAGTTCAGAACAACGCTCTCTCCCACGGTTAACTCCGTCCTTTTGGGAGTGAGTTCGATCCTCGTGGGCTCTGGAAGGAAGAGCACCTGGATGAGCCCCACCCACCGGCAATCCCATTTGATTAGCTGCAAGCACCGGAGGGTGTGCATGGCGTGACTGCTCCGGGGCTGGGCTGCTGACCGGGGACTGGGTGAGGCGGCGCCTCTCGAGAGGGGCGGGTGCTGTGCTCACCCGTGGGTGCAGCACAACTGATTTAGAGCTGCGGCTGATGCAGCAGCTCACATGGAAATGAGAGGCGTGCAGGCTGCTCTGGCCGCCGGAGGAGGCCCTTCAAGTAGACAAAAGGGGCTCTGGGACCAGTGCTGTGCGTCTCAGGGGAAGTGCAGGGCCAGGCCCTTGCCCAGAGGCTGTAAGGCAAGGGCAGTACCTTCCTTCACCCACCATCTCCGTGGAGGAGGAGCACAGTCCTCCCTGTGCCCTGGGCTCCACGGCGCCCTCTGCAGGCAGAGGAGCAGAAGCCATCCTTCGGCTTATGAAATAGCACCTGCTGCTTGTGGTTGGTTTAATTGAGGTGTAAGAAAGACAATAACGCCGAATGGAAATGTTTCTTAAGCAAACATATTGACCCATAGTTTCAAAAGCCATTTGATGGGTTCAGAGCAACTCAGCAAGGACCGGTAGAGCTGTGTGCAGGGTGGAGCGCGGCATGCGAAGTGCAGGGGATGAAGCAGGGCTGGCCTTCCTCACGGCCGGAGCTGCGTGCGCCCGCAGGCACTGGGCCCAGCGCTCCCAGGAGCGGAGGGCAGCTCTTCTAGTTCTCCTCCGTGCAGGACTCCAGCCGTCTGAGAAAACACCGCTCCTGACCACGGAGAAGACCCCTTTGCCTCCACGGTCCTCCTAAGCGGGGCCTGGGAAAACGTTCGCTCGCGTGCCAGCGTCCCCGGGCGTCCCCGAGGTGCTGGGAGCCGTGTGCCATGCGGCCAGGCCCGCCGAGTCCCGGCTTCGTCGAAGACAGGGAGGCACCATGCCGTCCTCCCAGCTCAGAGAGGAGGGACGGTTAGGGCATGTTCTGTCTAACTCACGACAAACTAATATTTGTGTTGTCTAAAATGGTGGTGTATTCGGCAGCATCGTTTCATTATGCAAAAGACCCACGGGCTCCAAGGAGGGGGAGGGAGCCCTGGGGACGGGGTGAAGATCTTTTAAATTCTGACCTTTCCCCTCAACGTTTGCTCTTTTTCTAAGCTCCACTGTGGCTATCTACAGTACATTTTTATTTCCAAAGACAGAGAAAAATGACCGGTTTGGCATCATCAGCGGACAGCTTGTCAGCAGTGCATACATCTGCAGTGCTGACCCTAATTTTCAAAAATATTTTCATAGCCTAATGCAATTTTCTGTAAGGAACCTGGTGGTGAAATAAAATCAAATTAGGTACACACCTCTGTTGTGAAAAATATCCTTTGTGACCTGAAGAGATTTTGCTGCTGAGATACAAGATTTTATGTCACTTGTTAGCTGCCAAACAAAAACACTCTGGGCATCTAATTTCAAACTAGAAAATGAAGAACATAGTAATTCTATTGAAACATAAATGTGTGTGAAGTCCAAGGCTGCAGACCGGAGTCGGCCGGCTCCCGCCAGCTCCTGCGTCCCACACCCGATGGGCAGCAGACCAGCCCCCGACGGCCGCTGATGTCATGGGGGGGAGTCCCTCCCCCACATTCCCCACACACTCTGTGCGTGGTTCAGAGCGTGCCGGGCTGCGCACTGCATGCCTGAGCAGCTGAGGCCGGGAAGGAAACTTCCTGAGGTGTTATCATTTCAATTGTTCTGGCAAGGCAGAATTTGAATATTTCTACCAACCATGGGTTTCCTCCTCTTAGTGTGTGTAAATGCTGGGGAGCTGGCTGGGAGCTGGGAGTGCAATGCACTGTGCATCCGTGTAGACGCACGCGCACAGGTACCCGCCCGCCCCCGGCACCCCCTCCCCCCCACCCCGCACGCAGCCCCTTCTCCTCACCTTTGACCCACAGGGAGGCGAGGATCTCTGCCGTGCCGAAGCTGTTCTCCGCGCGGCACGCGTAGGCGCCCTCGTCCGCCCTGGACGCGCTCAGGATCTGCAGGCTTCCCTCTGGAAGAATAGCTATTCTGAAAATTATTAAAAAAGGTTTTTCCTCTTTTACTGCAAATCAACGGAGAGACACGCAGCTCTGCTGAAGGCTGCCAGCACTGCTCGGTGTCGGGAATAAAGCGAGATGAAGGGCCGTGGCAAACGCGGGGTGAATCCAGGGAGGTTTTGCCCGGGAGACGCGGCGCGCTCGCCACGCACGCGGCTCTTCTCACGGTCAGAGGAGCGAGGGCTGCGGGTTCATTTTTCTTGTGACAGCTGGTGACAGCCAATTTTAAAACTGTGGGGAAAGGTGACCCCTGAATTTGGTGATTACGTGGGCTGCTGTAACTACCCGGCAGTATTTTACTATTTCACCTCAAGCCAAGAGTGACCCAAAATTCAAATATAAAAAGTAACAGCATAAAAAGCACAGAGGGGGACGAGTCCAGAACACAAAATTAATCGTTCCCAGCGAGAGGTGATTTGTGGTGTTCCCTTCGCTGCCCCTGGCCCAGGACACGAGGAGGTGACCCGCTCTCCGGCCTCTTTCTGCTTATGTGGTGCTGAGGAATCGAACCCAGGGCCTCGTGCATGCAAGGCAAGCACTCTACCACTGAGCCCCCTGCCCAGCCCCTCTCCGGCTCTCTGTAAGCTCGGGATGTGGTCAGCTCGGAGGCCCTCGCTCCCCACAAGACCCTCGCTCAAGGTGGACCTTCATTTTCCTGGTAACGGTGAAAACCTAAAGAATTCTTAAGCGTTGTAGAGGTTCAGGGGAAATGAGGTGACACATTCTCCTGTGTGCTCCTCGTGACAGGAGTTCGTGGATTTCAAATCTCGTGAGTGCCGGGTCCTCATTCCCCTGCCTCCCCGAGGCGCGGTGAATCGCATCGCCGGCGCCCCCTCCTGGCCGCCGGGCTCGGCCAGGTGCTGCATGCCGGTTCACACTCGCTTCTTTCCGGAGTGAGGACCAGGGGCGTGTGCGTAAGGACCAGACAGTGTGACGCAGTTAAATCAGCATCGCGCCCTCTTTCCCAGGCACAGTCTGTGCTGGGCGGCGTACAAGGGCGAGCCGCTTCCGATGCGCGAAGACGGCGGTGGCCAGCCCGGGCTGGGTGTGTGAGGGCCTGTGTGCCGCCCGGGCTGGGTGAGGGCGTGTGTGCCAGCCGGGCTGGGTGAGGGCGTGTGTGCCGGCCGGGCTGGGTGTGTGAAGGCCTGTGTGCCGGCCGGGCTGGGTGTGTGAAGGTGTGTGTGCCGCCTGGGCTGGGTGTGTGAAGGCGTGTGTGCCGGCCGGGCTGGGTGTGTGAAGGCCTGTGTGCCGGCCGGGCTGGGTGTATGAAGGCGTGTGTGCCGGCCGGGCTGGGTGTGTGACGGCGTGTGTGCCGGCCGGGCTGGGTGTGTGACGGCGTGTGTGCCGGCCGGGCTGGGTGTGTGACGGCGTGTGGGCCGCCCGGGCTGGGTGTGTGAAGGCGTGTGTGCCGGCTGGGCTGGGTGTGTGAAGGCGTGTGTGCCAGCCGGGCTGGGTGTGTGAAGGCGTGTGTGCCGGCCGGGCTGGGTGTGTGAAGGCGTGTGTGCCGGCCGGGCTGGGTGTGTGACGGCGTGTGTGCCGGCCGCCCCGGCGCTCGGCTGAGTGGTTTCTCCGTCTCTGTCCTCCGGACCCACCCGTCACCCTCGCCGCTGCAGCCTCTCGCGTCACCCGCAGCCGCTCACTCAACGCACACTGCAGAGAACCCCGCGTGTGCGCATGCGTGTGTGCTGGGACCATGGAACTGTAGAGAGATGAGAGAGGCCTGAGTCCGTCCGTCCGCATCTCAAACGCGCCGTGCCATGTCACCCTGTGGCTTTACCCACAACCACCTCTAGCCAGACCCGTTCCGACGTGGACACGCGGGTGGTTCACAAGCCCTGGGGCCGGCACTCTGTGCGTGCGCTCTGCCCCCGGGCTCGGGAACCACCGCGCAGCCCTGGCTCCGGAGCGCAGGAGGGAGCGTGCCAGTGCCCGCGCCGAGGGGGGTGGAGGGGGGAGCCCCAGACCCGGCCCTGGAACCCACGGACTCCACCGCCACGGACTCCTCCCCACCACGGCGTGGATGGACTCTGACGTGACAGCGCTGTCTTCAGCTTCCCAACTGAATTTCAGACTTCTACATGCTTTTACTCCCAAGGGCCACACCCACCCTCCCCCGTGTAGCCCACCCTCCCCCGTAACCCACCTCCCCAGTATCCTTCGCCAGCGTGCACTCCCCGGCCAGGCGTCCCCCGGCCCCCTCCGCTGGCCGGTGAGGACTGTTCTCAGCGCAGTTAGCATCTGTGCATGCACACGGTCTTAGTCTTTCTCTGTCCTTCTAGTATGTTCCTCGGTGTTCCAGCACGCACACACGAGTGTGGACGTGTTCCTTGAGCGAGGGGGGGAGGGGCACCTGAGGGGCCCCTGGTGCTGGAATTCCAGCCCTTCCTGGGCGGTCCCCCCTTCCCTCCCCCCTCCCCCTAATCGCTGAGCACCCTGCACTCTTCCACTGGTCCCACTTTTTGAAAAGCACTTGACAGCTAGAGGCAAACTGTGTGTTCACAGGATCTTTCTCTATTTTCTATTATTTTTCTCTTCTAGGCTTTTGAATTTGATAAAGCTTGTCTCCACCAAATACGTTTCTCCATCTTTCCCTGGAAGCGTTCGGCTTAGCACTAATGAGAAATTGATCTCTCTGAGAAAAAGAAATTAAAACCAAACACAATGAAGGCAGATGAATGGTTTTGGAGGAACTTCGAGGCGGGTTCAACACCTTTCCAGGGAGCGACCTCTAAAACAGAACATGCTGTGGAGAACATTCTGGAGAAGAAGCAACGCTTGGCATGGGTGGAGACCCATCGGCCCCGTGCCAGGGACGGTCACCAGTCGCTCACCACCAGCGCAGTCCCACGGGGAGCTGCGGGCGGTGGCACCGAGGACGGGCGCCGTCGACCAGCCCTAGGGTGAACACGAGCTCCCCCCGCCACCCCCGGGCTCTCCACAAACCACTGCGGGCCCAGGGACACCATCCAGGGCAAAATCACCACTGTTTGCTATTCCCACCTGAGACGCGTTTCAGTCCGTTTTAAATTATGCTGACCTAATTAGAAAGCTTGACCGCAGCTCAGCTCTTTAATATTCAAGAATACGTTTTATTTATTCTCCCTCAGAGAACAGCTGTTCGGCCATGCAGCTCCTGTCCCTTGTGGAGCAGTAAGCAGATGACTTCACTTCGTTGAATTTCAGGTGTGGCGCTGTGGACCAGGGACAGGGCGCAAAGGCTGTGTCTGGCGGAGCTCCTCAACGGACCCTTAGTTTAAGTCTCGGCTTCATTCATTTCCCACATCTATAAAGATAAGGAGACTGGTTTGGCCTTGTGATACTTTGCCTATTTATCCAAGTCTGAGGGTTTTTCTCCCTCCAGGCCGCCTTCCTAACCTTTCTTTTCAATGGTCCTGGGACAACTCAATCTGTCTGTCTGCTTTATTATTTTTTGTTTTCTGAATTTGCCTGGAAGTTTCTTCTCCCTGCAGTGTCTTTGTAAAGACCTTTGCCCGGTGAGGCAGACTTGCTCTCCACACTTCAGGTGTGGGCCGCGCGGAGTATGGGGTGGTCAGGCCTGGGGATGGCGGTGGGCACCGAGCTGGGTCGGGGAGGCGCGCTGAGGGCGGGGAGTGGAGCCATGTCAGGGAGACCCCTACTGAGACTGACGGCCGGGCAGTTCAGCTGAAAGGCCATCACCGTCGCGGGTCACCTTCCTTGGCACGCTTCAGCAGACAGTGAGCCGTGGCTGCAGGGTGGCGCTGGCCCTCGGGCTCCGGGAGGCTCTGCCGCGGGCCTCGCAGTCCTCACGGTGTTGCTCCTGCCTCGGCTGCGCGCGCGTGCGCATTTCCTTCTACGGGAAGATGGATGAACGCTTTCCCATAGAGTTCCGGGTTACCTGCCTGCAGGGGAGAGCAGGGTGGGGGCTGTCCCTCCCCCCCCTCCCCCCAGGTTCACTTGTCATCTCAATTTTCTTCACAAAATGCATCGACTCGATTTCTCTGTATCCACGGGAGGGAGGCTTCCCGAGTACCGAGCACACACGAGTTTCCTGTTAGACAGAAGCCGTGTGGCGCTTGGAGAGGCCTTCCTCACGGTCTGCAGGCAGGGTGAGGCGCAGCACCGCCTGTGAGCTCAGCTGACTTTGGGGAGCCCCTGGCTTGGTGTCGCGTCTCTCTGTGGGGACCCAGGGTGAGCTGGTGTGGCGTGAGACACTGCCAGGCGGGCTGGGCAGGCAGAGCCCGGCTGACAGCCGTACTCTGAATAGTTGAAGATGACACGAATTTACACCGTGGCACAGTTACGAACTCCTTCATGACAAAAACAGCAAGGCAGAAATCAGGGCTTGCGGAGTCCGATCCTTTTCCTGCCCCATTGGCTGTGTGCCGTGAGCAAGCCATTTCACTACAACGCAATTCCTTCCACTCTACAATGAGGAAGTCAGTCTAACAGCTTCTCCTGTCTTTCTGTTGTTCACACCGTAGCATTCTAGGCTGAGGTGATTCATCGGCAAGCCCTAGGAGAAGAAAGGCTGGGTCTCCGTTCCGAGAGCTGACAGCTGCCGCTGCGGCGGGCAGACCCGCTGCGCTGCGGCCCTCACGGGCCAGCTGCCCCTTCCGCTGGCGCGCGGGCGGCGTTCCCACCCATTCAGAACAGCCTTGCGTTACTTACATTACTTACGGGAGCCCGGAGGGGAGCCGGAGTTAATTTAAAAAGTTCTTCCTGACGTAATTAGCATCCGCGTGAGGAACCACCTGTGCGAACTCGCGGCTTGCTTGGAGGTGAATCAGAGACGCTGGCCTTCCATGGTAGGAACGAGCAGCAGCTCTGTGTCTTTCAGAGAGCACAAACGCCTTTCTACTTCTGAGTGTGCTCTCGAGTGTGACAGTGGCGTGCGTGACCTCGGGCCTCGCACTTGCCAGGCAGGTGCTCTGCCACACGCGCCCCTTTTTTGAAGGGGGCCTGGCTTTATGCCCTGGTGGTCCTGGGCGT